AACCAGTGTAATGATCACAACATTTTGGTATAATATCACTCATTAACCAGTGTAGTGATCACAACATTCTGGTATATCACTCATTAACCAGTGTAATGATCACAACATTTTGGTATAATATCACTCATTAACCAGTGTAGTGATCACAACATTCTGGTATATCACTCATTAACCAGTGTAATGATCACAACATTTTGGTATAATATCACTCATTAACCAGTGTAGTGATCACAACATTCTGGTATATCACTCATTAACCAGTGTAATGATCACAACATTCTGGTATATCACTCATTAAATAGTCTAATGATCACAACATTCTGGTATAATATTGCTCATTAATCAGTCTAATGATCACAACATTCTGGTATATCACTCATTAACCAGTGTAATGATCACAATGTCCTGGTATAGTTTCACTCATTAACCAGTGTAATGATCACAATGTCCTGGTATAGTTTCACTCATTAATCAGTCTAATGATCACAACATTCTAGTATAATATCACTCATTAACCAGTCTAATGATCACAATATTCTGGTATAATATCACTCATTAACCAGTCTAATGATCACAACATTCTGGTATAATATCAATCATTAACCAGTCTAATGATCACAACATTCTGGTATAATATCACTCATTAACCAATCTAATGATCACAACATTCTGGTATAATATCACTCATTAACCAGTCTAATGATCACAACATTCTGGTATAATATCACTCATTAACCAGTGTAATGATCACAATGTCCTGGTATAGTTTCACTCATTAATCAGAATAATGAACACAACATTCTGGTATAATATCACTCATTAACCAGTCTAATGATCACAATATTCTGGTATATTATCATTCATTAACCAGTCTAATGATCACAACATTCTGGTATATCACTCATTAATCAGTCTAATGATCACAATATTCTGGTATAATATCAATCATTAACCAGTCTATTGATCACAGCATTCTGGTATAATATCACTCATTAACCAGTCTAATGATCATAATGTCCTGGTATAGTTTCACTCATTAACCAGAATAATGATCACAACATTCTGGTATAATATTACTCATTAACCAGTGTAATGACCACAACGTCCTGGTATAATATTACTCATTAACCAGTATAATGATCATAATGTCCTGTTATAGTTTCACTCCAATGATTCATATAAACACTGCATATAGTCATATTAGTACTGCATACAATTAAAAATTCTACACGTATAGTCACAAACACTACATTAAACACACACACACATAAACATTGCAAACATTCATGTAAGTTATTTCTTAATTTTATACAAGAACTCTCAGTTTGATGTTGTAGTGCCTACTGTCTTTTTAATTTTGTACATATCTGTACAGTATTCTTTGTAAATACATTTATTGTAAGTTTTTGATCATCTATTGAATAGCATAATTTTTTTTATTTTAACCAAGCACATTTCAAATGAGTTGCACCAGTTCAACAATATTAAATTAGGGTAGAAATATGAAACTAAAAGCTTAAAATCACTAAGCCTACCATTTCAACAATATTAAATTAGGGTAGAAATATGAAACTAAAATCTTAAAATCACTAAGCCTACCAGTTCAACAATATTAAATTAGGGTAGAAATATGAAACTAAAAGCTTAAAATCACTAAGCCTACCAGTTCAACAATATTAAATTAGGGTAGAAATATGAAACTAAAAGCTTAAAATCACTAAGCCTACTTGCATCAAACATTTACCAGATTAGGAAGCAACCCTGCAGGACCCGGGAACTTTCTTTTCCTTGGTTTTCTACTTAATGGCGTGTCATTACCTTCTTGTCTTAGGTGTGAATTATGAAGTTTAGGTTGGTGTACTGCCGAAATACTTGAGAAGACTTGATTTTCTTTCTTGGAACTCGATTTATTATTTTCAGGGTTTAAAAGACTGGAACTGTGGTGAAGGACAGTTTTTGAAATAGCTTCTAATGACTCATCACGTTGGTGTCCCTTGTTCATTATGGGTGTCAGATGGAGATTTTCTTTTGGCTGTAAAGTTGTTTCTGTGGAAAGTTAATCCTCTTCAGGTTGTATACAACGATACATTTTACCATCTCATGTTGATTTAAGACCTATTACTAAATTCACTAATTAATTAATTAATTCTAGTTTGTTAAGTCAGGGATTTGGTATTTAAGGAGGCAACCAGACCTATAGTATAGTTTTCAATGACTGTTACACATTCAGTTATTTCACTTCTTAACATATAACACACATTCAGTGATTACAAAACGTTTGCAATAATGATAACAGTTTAAAGTAACTTGAGAACTATCAACATATATTTCATGCTTTATCTTAAAATATGAATAAATATATATATATATAACTAATAGTGCTGGTAAGTAAATTGTGTATAAATTCTAAATAGTCAAATAATTAGTATAGTATCAATAGTGTCGTATCTGTGTGATGAAACATTTACTTTTCTTATAAAAGATTCTGTTAGGGTGAGTAAAAGAATTTTGAAGTTGTGAAGTAAAATCTGTTAAGTCACTGAATAAGTGCTCTTGTGTATCTAAAAAAAAACTGGTAATATGTTAGTAGAGTAACACCAAAACTAAATCTTTATGGTAGTACAATCCCACCAGTACAAGAAACTAAATCTTCAAAGAATCGTTACTGCAATACAATCCAACAAAAACAAGAAACTCAATCTTACACAAATGTATGGTATTGAAACCCAACCAAAACTAATTAATTTAAACTGTAAACATACGTATCATCACTAAGCAAAGTAATTCATAAGCTTATAATTCCCATAGAAAAGTAACTTGTCAGAAAACAAGCCAGCATCTAAGCTACCAATATATAAACCTTTCCATTCCATCTTGCCTCTTAATCATTTGATGCTCCAGAAAAAACAAGTCTAAATCTCTATGTTTCTCCTCATACATGTAGGTTGAACAACTTAAACACTAGTGGCCTGTCTCTGTACTCTTTCCAACATGACGATAACCATAATATAGTAAACCTGTAGACTATAATATTCATGTTGTTTTTAATCACTTTACTCTTTTCAAAATTAAAACTTATATTTTACTATGTTGAAAATGTTAGTTGTTTTTTTTGAAAAAATAAAGAGAAAAAATTCTTCATTTTATTGTTGACTAAAAACTTTACCACCCAAATCACTGATATACATGAGCAGAATTATTACATCTGATGATGTAGTATACACTGTAGCTTTAAATTAATTACATCATTTGTTAACCAAACTAACAAATCTATAGATGGTTGCTTTTCTTCTTCTGAAGGAAGTTAATATTTACATTATTTACAGTTACCTCTATGTACAAGAGGGAACTATTACCTTGCACCACCATTTTGAAGGTTTTTGTGCCATGAGCCTTGAATGAAGCTTCCACCCCTATATGTATTACACTACAGCTCTCCACCAATAGGAGTGTGACAATTCCTCCACGTACAGTTATCCACATGAGTACTAGTACTGTAACAAAGGTTCATTCTTTGCACAACAAAGAATTTAAATACCACATTGAGAAGAGGGGCTAGTGCAGACAAACTATAAAGTGATCTTTTTTCTCAAAATAAAATCAGTAACGAAAAACCCATGAAGCATGTCATCCACTAGGAGGGGAGATCCTAGTGAGGCATCACTCTGTCTAAGACTGAATCCATCTCAAGCCATCTTTGACCAATAGAAAAGGTAGAGCAAAAGATATTGTCAAAAAAATATTTCTGCATGGTACTAAAGTGTGACAGAGTGTAAGACTGGCCTTTATCTCCCAGACCATCAGCTGTATGTAATATGGCTAAGACAATAAGTCAGATTGTGCCATATTGGAGAAATAATAACGATATATTTACCAGAATAATCAGGTGCAGGGAGAAAATGTCCAAGTCATGCATCCTGAAGAGACAAGACCCATCTAGCTAACCTAACCACGATGAATGGCTTGATTCATATTGACGTGGGGTCGCCTGTATTATGCTTCCAGGTATGCCCCCAGCCTTACTTTCCATCGAGAAGTGCATCAATTCGATCTCAAACCAGTGGAATTATTCCAATTCAATAGGGAACTCCCCAAGGACTTGGGACTGTGAAAGCAAATACTCTCTCTTCCTTCACTGGGAGAGAAGAAGAGGGAGAAAAAACCGCATGGAGGAGAACACCAAAGAGGTGCTCTGACCAAACTATCAGTCTCACACTGATAGTTTGTGCAATGTGTTACTTTAAACATGTACAGCAGGTGTGAGGGCAGGATCATATCCAGTGTGGCATTTTTTGTTGTGAATATATGTACACACTGCCAAAGTAGTCTTGTTGAATCTCCAATCTAAACAACAGGCAGTGAAAAGAAGTGGAGTGAGCTTAACACTTTGTTGCGTCAGCGAGGTCACGTGACTAGTATCACGCCACTCCTTCTCGAACCTTCATGAATTATCGGGAAACTACTAGATTGGGGGTATCTGGTATATATGTAAGACGCTCACAACGTGACGCAAGGAGTTAATGAGTAATTGAACTGCAGTCAGAGAGTGTG